TTATTTACCACGCAGTGCCTCTGTTTCATCATCAGTTAAATGAGTATAATGCTAATATCTACCTAATGAGGTTTTTGTGATGTTTAATGAGTTAATGTAGGTAAAGTGCTTAGAGTAGCACTGGGCACCGAGCAAACATTGCTCTTATTCGTATTGTTAATCTCCTCTCACTTCTCTCCCACTTCTCTTTCATCCTCACCTCCAACCTCTCTTTTTACACACTTACGTGCACAGAAACAAAAGCAGGGGTCAGGGCCAGCATTATTCGGTAGTTTACCACAGTGTAATTAAGCCACATTTGGCAAGTTTTTTCTTAGCTCTTGGAAAGGCAACATTACATTGGGGAAACAGCGCCGAACTAGAAATGGTCCATGTCACAGATTGTCTTGTCTCTGTCTCAAAAAGAAGCATTCCTTTGAATGTGCTCATTACTCTGTATGCATTTTTTTTTAATAAACAGAAGAGGTTTTTAGATACATCGTGTTTAATTCCACAGAAGGATTCCAGCATGACATTGCCTGCCATCAGAAACTTGGAACTTTGAGATACAGGGAAAAGCATAGGGGTCAGGGAATTAGGTTCTAGAAGTGTGTTTTGGAGAGGTCACAGTTAATCTGGGCCTCATTACTGCATAAAATAAGGAGGCTGCATCCAATAAACTAAAGCCTGAAAATTCAATGGATCTATTTTGAGATAGAGAAAAGACATTTAAAGGTAACACTCCTGTTGACAGAGAGAAATGTTCTATATATGCAATGAAATTGTCTCCAGCCGTGAGAAGGAAGGATATCCTGCCGTTTGCGACAAATGGATGGACCGTGAGGGCATTACGCTAAGTGGAGTAAGTCAGACAGATAAAGATGAATGCGGTATGATAGCACTTCTGTGTGGAACCTAAAAAAGCAGAACTCACAGAAATAGAGAGTAGAACAGTGGTTGCCAGGAGCTGGAAAATAAGGGAAATGGGGAAACGTTGGTCAAAGGTTATAAATTTCCAGTTGTAAAATGAATAAGTTCTGGAGATCTAATGTACAGCACGGTAATTGTGGCTCACAATTCTGTGTTTCACACTTGACCGTTGCCAAGAGAGTCCATCTGAAATGTTCCCATCACAAAAAAGAAGTGGGAATTATGTGCTATGATTGAGATGTCAGCTAACGCTACAGTGGTAATCATGATGCAATATCCAAGGGCATTAAATCAAAACACACCTCTTAAGCTTACACAATGTCATATGTCAATTATGTCTCAATAATGTTGGGGTTGGGGGGGAAAGAAATGTACAAAGTGAATACTCTTGTGAAGCTGGGTGATAGGTCCGGAAAAGTAGGCGAGGCAATCTTGAAGACTCCCTGGCTTCTCTGCACCAGGTCTTGAGAGCATGATGGACAGGAGTTGTGCCCCGAAATAGGGAGCTCACTGACTTTGTTCCCTATTGCTCTAATATGAGAAGATGCTTTTGAAAATAATCTATGCAATTCATCATTTTTATTTTATTTTAAAGATTGTATTTATTCATTTGAGAGAAAGAGAGCGCACACATGAGCAAGGGGGGAAGAGGGAGAGGGAGAGGCAGACGCCCCACTGAGCAGGGAGCCCGACATGACATGGGGCTCGATCCCAGGACCTGAGGCAAAGGCAGGCACGCAACCATCTGAGCCACCCAGGTGTTCCTGTAATGCATCGATTTTAGAGAGCATTTAAACTCAGTAGGTTTGGCCTGGGTTTTTTTTTTTTTTTTGTATATTTTTTTTATTGGAGTTCTATTTGCCAACATATAGTATGTGGCTTGGATTTTAAAGAAGCAAATGGACACAGACCACAGGAGGGCCTGGGGAGGCAGAGAGTATCTCTCAATGGCTGCTTACCACACCAGAAACTGAGGAAGGGGAGAAAAGGCAACTGACCAGGATGAACTCAAATATTTCTAATCTTCATTAAAAATGGCAGAGATAAGGAGCTCCTGGGTGGCTCAGTCCATTAAGCATCTGACTCTTGGTTTCATGATCTCAGGGTCATGAGATCGAGCTCCAAGTGGAGTGCTCAGCAGGGTATCTGCTTGAGAGTCTCTCTCCCTCTGCCTCTGCCTGCCCACCTCCACTGCTTATGCACATTCTCTCTCTCTCTCTCTCTCTTTCTCTCTCAAGTAAAATAAATAAATAAAACTTTTTTAGAAAACATGGCAAGGATGATAGTGGAGAGGTGAGGAGAAAACCTTGCCAGATCTCTTCAATGTTAACGTGAGATTTTGAAATCTAGATTAGGGCCCCTGCAGGTTCCTAAACAAGAGTGAAAACAGTATGTAGCTCTGAGTGAAGAGCTTTTAGATTCTTAATTGAATTTTTATCTTGAAATGAAATTGTTTGTTGTAATTTAAATATGTGGGAATAAGAGACTAAGATTGTATTTTTAAGAGTGCTTATATTTGGAATAAGCATCATCTCTGTAACTTATTTGAGAAAGCTTCTTTTAAAATTTGTAGATGCCAACTGGTAATTCATATTCCCCTAACAATTTGCACTGATATGTTAGACAGCAGTCTTTTTTTTTTTTTTAAATCAAACCCTATTGATATAAAATGGAGGGCTTTTGTCGTTTTGTGATGCTACCAGTTACATGAGGGAGCATAAGTATAGAACATGGAGATTAAGTAGGAAGGAAATATTAAAAATGAATCGTGCTCACCAAGTACTAGGTGTTCTACGTGAGTTGTGGAGTCAGACAAGGTTCACACAGACAGGCCAGGAATTAATGAAAACCAATCTAAATGCCACAGAGGTGACAAGCTGGGAAAGGTAATGCCTCCTATTTGTTAATGCAGCTTTACCTATCAAGAGGATTGAGTATGTGCTAGGCAATCGCACACTTGAATTTCTTAGGAAATCAGATCTTCACGGATAGATGCTTCTATCAGCAAATTAATTCTTAACAAAAATGATAACAGCAAGCAATCAAAGTAACATCCTAGTAGTTGGACATCACGGAAACATGGTAGCAGCTTAGCCAATACAGCATAAAGAAATGCCAACAAGGAAAATGCACTGCAGATCACACTGAGAAGCAAAACCCAATAAAGAAGAAGGCCCATTGTTGCCTGAACACAGATCTAAGCTCTGAAATATTAAAAAAATATATATAATTTAGTAGCTTTTGAACATGAAGTTCAGAGCCCATCTGTAAAATATTTAAATATACACTTGGTACTGTGTTGTTTCCTCTTCTTGAGAGTAAGGACCAGTGATCTATTTGTTTTCCAACATATTCAGAGTTTGTGGGGTTTGGTCAATAAAAAGTATTTTTGTCTATATACTGGACTTTCTTCTCCTAAGATAAAAGAATGGTGTCTGATGTCATCAGAGTATTTTAACTGTGTAATAACTGAACTGTTATTAAGATGAAAAACAGCATGGGGGCACCTGGGTGGCTCAGTCAGTTAAGTGTCTGCCTTCAGCTCAGGTCACGATCTCGGGGATCCAGGCCGGCATCGGGCTCCTGCAAAACGGGAATCTGCTTCCCTACTCTTACCCTCACCCATGGACTCTCTCTCTTTCCCTCTCAAATGAGTAAATTTTTAAAAATCGCATGGTAATAATTACAACTAATAAAGTTTGTGAAGTAACACATTTAAAATCAAAGAATCAAAATAGCTTCTGTATTTCGAGTAAGCCCTTATGGAGTTTCTGCATTTATTCGTGTGCTGCTTCTCCGGATACATTTCTCACTGATAGTCAGAGAAAATGTCTCTTTTCCGAGTGCTTTTCTATGCAGGAAGCATAATAAAGTGCTGGTACAACAGAAGTAAAATACTGATTCAGGGTTTTTTTTTAATTTTTATTTATTTATGATAGTCACACAGAGAGAGAGAGAGAGAGAGGCAGAGACACAGGTGGAGGGAGAAGCAGGCTCCATGCACTGGGAGCCCGACGTGGGATTCGATCCCGGGTCTCCAGGATCGCGCCCTGGGCCAAAGGCAGGCGCTAAACCGCTGCGCCACCCAGGGATCCCTGATTCAGGGTTTACTGATGGATGAAATTAATTTAGAAAAGAAATATCAGTAGATGCAGAATGGTTAGTAGACGAGCCCATAGCCATGGACGAGCCACATGAGCTATGACGCAGGAGCCAGTGCTTTGGGCACAGGTTCACGTGAGCCCCTTTGGGGGCTGAGTTTATTGCTTGGGTTGCCGGTTGGCAAGAGCCTGCCGGCCCTGCCCTCTCCTCCTTGCCTTTTCTGGTAGCACCCTGACCTGACAGATTACTCCATATCAAGGCCTCGTTCTTGGAATGTTCTGCAGGGTAACCAGGTTTGTGACCCCAAGCACAGCGCAGCACGATGTTATTTCCTCATTCATGGCTTTGCTGGCGCCCAAGAGACAGAGTGGTTATTTCAAGGACACGTTTGCTGACTTAGGTGGCAGTGGCTTCTGCTAGGATGCTATCGCCTTGGAACAAGGACACGTTGACTCCACCATCAGAGCCGCCCATCCCGAACTGAGTCTAAAGATAGCTTTCACTGATGGGCAGCTGTAACCTTTGGCCTTTTCTCACATCGTGCTGGCTACCAACTCTAACGACTCTGGAGGTTAAGAGTCCCAATTACATTTAAAAGCCTCTCATTTCGATGTCTTCCTTTTTCTTTCTGGTGACTTTTTTTTTTTTTTAAGATTGTATTTATTTATGATAGACAGAGAGAGAGAAAGAGAGAGAGAGAGGCAGTGGGAGAGGCAGGCTCCATGCCAGGAGCCCAACGTGGGACTCGATCCCGGGGCTCCAGGATCACACCCTGGGCCAAAGGCAGGCACTAAACCGCTGAGCCACCCAGGGATCCCCCTTTCTCGTGACTTCTCCAACGAGAAAAAGAAAAGGAAATAAAGTGACCCACAAACACTATGGATTATGGGGACGTGGTGTTTTATGACTCGTTTTGTTCTGCCAAGGCTAAGGGTAGGGATTTGAGGGCCCCGCCGACGCTAAGTCTGTTGGCCGCTTTGTGTTTCCAGATGACCAAGAATGGCACAGTGGAATCTGAAGAAGCTAGCACCCTTACCGTGGATGACATTTCGGATGATGATATTGATTTAGACAACACCGAGGTAGACGAGTACTTCTTCCTGCAACCCCTGCCGACGAAGAAAAGGAGAGCGCTGCTGCGGGCCTCTGGGGTGAAGAAGATTGACGTCGAAGAAAAGCATGAGCTGCGCGCCATCCGCCTGTCGAGGGAGGACTGTGGCTGCGACTGCCGAGTGTTCTGTGATCCAGAAACGTGTACCTGCAGCCTGGCGGGCATCAAGTGTCAGGTAAGGTTTTGCATGTCGAGGACTCCGGAGGTGGGACCTCCTACAGCACCCCGCCTGCGACAGATAAAGAAGCTTCTCACACACAGGAAGGCACTCTGGAGCAAGGCAAGGCCTGTGGTTCCAGCAGGGAGAAATAGTAAGTCAAGGACGTTTGTGGGTGTGCCTCACAGGCTGACACACACACGATATGATGTGAGAGGCAGCCCAAGCTGTAGCTAAGCCCATCAGAAGGCTTTCCCCTTGGATTGCTTTATTGTGCTCACTTCTGGTGGGTTTTTACAAGCACTCAGAGAGATGATGACATCTCTGACGTGTGAGATTGTGCCTTCTGGTCCATCCGTGGGGGACACGATGGTGAGAGGTTAGAGGTGGCACTACTGGTGGAAAAATTAGGCGACTGGGACTTCAGAAAACGGAGTTCGACCCCTGGCTCTGCTTTCTGCCAGGTACGTGAAATAAGCAAGTCAGGTCAACTTTCTGGGCACCGTGTGCTTATCCCAAAAATGAAAGGGCTGGACTAGATCAGAGGTTGGCAAGCTATAGCTCACAGGACAAATCTGGCCTGCCACCTGTTTTCGTAAGTAACACGTTAGTGAGGCCCAGCCACTTTGTGTCTCTTTGTTTGCCTGTTGTGGTGTTGCCCATGACTGCTTTCATGCTTTTACAACAGCAATGAGTAGTTGCCAGAGACACTGTACGGCCCACAAAGCCTAAAATATTTATTCTCTGGCCCTTTACCAAGAAAAAGAAGGAAAAGGGAAGAAAGAAAAAGAAAAAAGAGAAAGAGAGTTTACCAACCCCCAGACTAGGTGATTCTCAAGCCCCCGTACATCTCTATGATTTACACTCCATGATTAGTTAGGTGTTATTATTTTATGAGGAAACTTGCCTTTTTTGACAAGGACAGCCCCTCGGGCAGGCAGAAAGAGAGGACAGTTCTAGAAAGGGGATCCATGAGTAAGAAAACAGCTATAGATTCTGGTTCTGCCCCCCCCCCCCGCCCCTACTTTTTCCTGAAACCAGGATGACTGCTGGAGTTTGCCCTCTTCTCTGGAGCAGAGGAAATTCCCTGTGCCTGGATAAGGTGGCAAGCGGCTCTTTGTGGGCGCCTGTGCTCTGGTGTGCATGCAGGGTAATCGGTAGCAGTCAGCAATTAGCAAATGTCTAAGGGGTGCCCTTGGGTGGCTGGGAATACCACCTATCACCTGAGTGACAAGTTCAGTCCCATGACACTTGGTGAACCCAAACACTCTGTCAGCAGAGCCCAGTTGCTCTGATTCTGGGAGACTGATTAAGGGAACATCCCTTTCCCTCAGGAAGCCTACGGCCTACTGGAGTGGAGAAGGGCAAGGGAGAGCCAGGCCCCCCAAACGCATGGGTCCATCGGTTGGAGTGGAGAAGGGCAAGGGAGAGCCAGGCCCCCAAATACATGGGTCCATCGGTCAGAGTCATAAATGTGCGCAACCGTCACAGTCCTGCAGGACACACACAGGCGCCTGGGACCAAGGATCCAAACAAATGAGAAGAAAACACAACGAGGACGAATTGTCAGGCCGCATGATCCTAAGCGGTGTCCATCTGGACACGTCAGGCAGAAAAATTCATGTTAGAGTAAGCCAAGAAGCGGGGGGTGTGGCTGGTAGGCAAAATGTCAAATAACTTTGATTAAAAATAGTAGGTAGGGATGGGGGCAGTAAGTGTGTGTAGTTTAAAATTGGGCATGAGGGACGCCTGGGTGACTCATGGTTGAGTGTCTGTCTTCAGCTCAGGGCGTGATCCCGGGGTCCTGGGATCCAGTCCCACATAGGGCTCCTGAACGGAGCCTGCTTGTCCCTCTGCCTGTGTCTCTGCCTCTCTCTCTCTCTGTGTGTCTCTCATGAATAAATAATCTAAAAAAAAAAAAAAAAAAAAAACTGCATGTGAGCTGGCGTGCAGCAGAAGTGAGCCGGGCTTAGGGAAGGGAGAAGCTTTCAAAAGACGCGAGGGAAAGTACCAGGATGGAGAAGGAGGGGGGAACGGAGAGAGAAGAAAGCGGGGGGGGGGGGGGGGGGGGGGGGGGGGGACGGGGGGGGAGCTCCATGAACTCGAACGCCACGCCCACAGCCATAGCTCCTCTTTCTTCTGAGTACAGATTTTACAGCCAGGTTGACTCTCGGGCTGGCAGGCTCCCCTTCCCCTCCGGGCTCCTTTGCGGGGTGACTGTCACTGGCTGTGGCGCAGCTGGGGTCCGGCGAGCCCAGGTTCCCGGGGCGCGGGGGGAGGTCCGGGCCGGGGCGGCCGGGGGGCGTGGCACGGGGCTAACTGTGTTCTTCCCTCCAAGGTGGATCGAATGTCTTTCCCGTGCGGCTGCACTAAAGAAGGATGTAGTAACACAGCAGGTAGGATCGAATTTAATCCTATCCGTGTCCGGACTCACTTTTTGCACACGATAATGAAACTTGAACTGGAGAAGAGCCGGGAGCAGCAGATCCCGGCGCTGAACGGCTGCCACGCGGAGGTGAGCGCGCACGGCAGCGCCGTGGGCCCCGTGGCGCACTCGGTGGAGTATTCCATCGCGGACAATTTCGAGATCGAAGCCGAGCCGCAGGCCGCCGTGCTGCACCTGCAGTCCGCCGAGGAGCTGGACTGCCAAGGAGAGGAGGAGGAGGAGGAGGAAGAGGAGGAGGAGGAAGAGGAGGAGGAGGAGGAGGAGGACGGCAGCAGCTTCTGCAGCGGGGTCACCGACTCGAGCACCCAGAGCCTGGCGCCCAGTGAGTCGGAGGAGGAGGAGGAGGACGAGGACGAGGACGAGGAGGAGGACGAGGACGAGGACGACGACGACAAAGGGGACAGCTTCGTGGACGGCTTGGGCGCGCACGCCGAGGTCGTGCCTCTGCCGTCGGTCCTGTGCTACTCCGACGGCGGCGCGGTGCACGAGGGCCCGGCCAAGGGCGCGTCCTTCTACGCCAGCTCCTCCACCCTCTACTACCAAATAGACAGCCACGTCCCGGGGCCGCCCGGCCCGGCCGCCGACGGCTACTCCGCCCGGGAGCCCGGGAAGGCCGGGGCCCTCTCGCTGGTGCCTTACAGCATGACGCCCGAGCAGTTCGCCGACTACGCCCGGCAGGCCGAGGAGGCCTACGGGCCCCCCCACTACCCGGCCGCCAGCCCCTCGGTCATCGTGTGCTGCTCGTCGGCCGACGACGGCGGCGTGCCCTGCACCAGCCTGTACCCCGACCGCAGGCCCAGCCACCCACAGGTGGAATTCCACTCGTACTTGAAGGGGCCCCCCCCGGAAGGGTTCGTGTCCCCGTTGCACGGGGACGGCCACCTCCCCGAGCACCCCGCGGAGAAGCCTTTGAGTCTGGCCGACAAGAGCAGACTGCACGACGAGTGCATCACGTCCCCCGTGGTGGAGACGGTCCCGGTGTAGGCGCCCCGCAACCCCCCTCCCCCTCCCCCTCCCCCCACCCCGGGCCGGCCCCGCCCTCCTTCGAGGCGCCCCACCCCCTTGCATCTCGGGGCCGCGGTTCTGCAAGCTGAGGACCAAGAACCCCGCCCCGCCCCCCCCCCCCCCCCGCCCCCGGACCGCGGCGAATCTTCCAGACTGTATTTTGTTCTCTCCTTTCTAGCTACGTGTCGGTGGCTTTGCACAAATACAGTCTCTATGAGGATTTTAAAAGATTTCAGACCCTTTTGATAGAAAAATGCTAATTTAAAAAAAAAAAAAAGCCTATCTCACAGTTGCCTACCTGTCAAACTGTGTGAAACCTGCCAAGCTGTGTAGATCGGAGCTCCAAGTTTTGGATTATCGGGCCTGTGCAAGATTGTTAACTTAAGACTGGGAAATAATAAGATGTAGAGTCCTAATTTTCGATAAATCTGAAGATGATGGTGACTTTTTAAATGTAAAAGTACCTATTGTAAGAAAAAAAAAGATTTAATCGTTCCATGTGTATTTTATTTATGGTAGTTAGAAGTCACGTTTTGATGAAAATGAACAGCAGCATGTTCTTTTAAGCTGAAGATGCATAGTTAGTACCACCGAGCATGCCCACATGGATTGCATCTGGAATCCATTCACGTTTTTATGATCATGACTGATCAGATTTGCAAATACTTTCTTAAGGGTGAAATAGGCCTATTTTTGCTATTTTGGACAAATAAATGAGTCTATATGTGCAGGTCCTTACACAGTTTTCTCTAAAGTTAAGAGTTAGGACAATCCTCCGGTGAGGGTCCAGTCACTGCCCTCCCTCAGTTGACTCCAGAGATGGAGGTAGAAGGAATTGCCTTTCTTTTTTAAACAGCATCATCTTGGTTCTTAGCTCGGACAGCACCTTTAAACTCTACTCCCCTACATCCAAATGCACTTTAGTGCCCCTTCGTGGTACCTTGTGAGGGGTGGGGACTGAGAACTCTTTGAGATGAAAAATTTAAAAAAAAGAAAAAAAAAATTTTTAAATCTGTAACTATTATAAGGTTCATATAATTACTACAGAGGAATCATCCAATGATACTTTATGAAGGAAAAATGACCTTTTTTTTTTTTCCTTCGCCACTCTGAAGACCTAACTCGGTAAAAGCAGAGGCAGAGGAAACGTGGAAGAGACACATCCTCAGCTACCAGCCTTTTCTACAGCGTGATCAATCCATCTCTACAAACGAGTATAGAAGGAGATTTCCTTTTAGTGACTAGCTGATTGATTGAAGGGGGGGCCTCTACCCAAATACTCAACTAGGCCTTACTTTTCTGAAGCATTTTGATTTCTCTTGCCTGGGACAATTAGCAGAACAGCCCAGAATGCATTGAATACTTTATGAATTACCTCACGTTCTCTTGTTAAAGGGGACAGATAGAAATAAAACACGCACTCCCCACCTTTAGATTATCTGTACTTGGTTCCTCGGAGGACTTCTAAGATCCCGTTTTCCCGTAAATTAATTTAGGTGACTCAATGGTATGTTCTATCTTTCTTCCCACCCCCCCCCACCCACGCGATATGACTACGCTGAGTCCGTTTCATATTTTTGACCTTCCGTTGTTATATCATTTCACACTTTATGCCTCTTTGAAATGTGGACATGCCTTGCTATTCAGTGACTGCATCGCTAATTTTTATGTCTTTTAGACTTAGATTGTTTAGAAATATGGATATAAATATATTGTAGATCTCGATTCCTTAAAAAATACTATTTTATTTAATTGAACTAAAAAATGTTTGATCTAGAGAAAGTCCTCCAGTGGAAAAGTTTCTACTAAAACTTTTTTTGGGGAAAACATGTTCACTCGGCAGCTCTTCCACTGTGCAGTTGGTTCCTGCCCTGTCTCTACCCCGCTCCCCGGGGGCCAAATTTCTAACGGTGAATATTAACATTAAAGGAGCTTTGGGTTTGTCCTTATGGAAGTCGCAGTGATGAGGGCAGGGATGTTACTTTTGAATGATAAGCCCTTTGGGTTAACCCGATTGGGGTTTTGCTCAGATCTAGGTAGTGTAGCTCATATTGTTTACTAAGTTACACTTTTTAGTGCTGGATTTCCAAAATTGTCTCCCTTACCAATACAATCTAAAGAGCAGAGGCCCAAAGAAAAATGACAAGAGGCTTCTGTTCCTCCATGTAGGCATGTGAAAAGATCACATGTGCCATATTTGCTGGACCATTACAAGCCCTGGACGTATTCACTTGTGAAGCGGTCAGCATATTCTCGGAACACGGACTGTGGCAGAGTGGGGAAGAGGCGGCTCTGGCTGGGGCGACGTTGAAGGATAGAATGTCAGTCCAGTTTCTGAAAGGAGAGGTATTTAATTTGGTTCAGCTTTACATTCACAAGGAGGTTGGCGCCTACTTCTTTGTTTGGCAAGGTCTCTGTTTTGTAGCTTCACTTCCAAAAGGATGCTGCGCCTAGAAACAGGCAAACAGAAAAATGAGAGCTTTTTCCTCTATTTGTGCAATTGGGGTTGAAAGTCACTGTGCACAGAAGGATTAACCTTCCAAGCATGAATTCCAGACCAAATTTTCGTATAGATAACCTAACCCCTAGCATCTCCCACAAACTACATGCACAAATTACCTATTAAAACACCACTGTAACACACACACACACACACACACACACACACACACACACACGATGCATGTCCCTTCTGGAGGATGACAGATTTTAGGCAGTGGCCAATAATGAACACTGTGTTTTTTCCCCACCCTAGGATTTGACTGGGTTTTATGATCAAAAAATCAGGTTGAGAAAAGGAGATGATAACTTGTAAAGCTATAGTTTAAAAATGTTGGGTCAAAGTTGCAAATAATATTAATGATGGATTCATTTCATTGTTACTTCCTTTCCCAGAAAAGCTAAGAGAACACAGTGTTCCATCTGACTTTTTTTTCCCCCGTTAATAGCCCTTCTATTCAACAGAAACTGCCCACATGCCAGGAGAGCGCTACAGTTTTTCTGAGCTTTTTGAAATGGGGATCAAGCTAGATGCAGCCAGTTGGGATACTTAAGATCTTTATACTGAGACACAGTGACACCTGACCTGTAGCTGTTGTATTGCCCCCACAGTATATCTAACCAAATTATTGTCTTTTTCTGACACACAGCTTTTTCATCATTCACTGTCAATGGCAAAGCTTCATGCTCTGGTCTCTGTTGTTTTAGCACCAGCCCTATACTTTTTATTGGGACTCGATTCCCAGTTATAATCTAGGCCAGATTGATTTGCAAGTAAAGAGGCTGGGGCAGCTTGCATTTCCTTTGTCATTCTAGGTTTCCTTTGGGAGAAAGAAGTCAACAAAAGAGATTTACTTAAGTCCCCCCCCCATCATTTAATCATTGGTTATTAAGACATTAGTAAAATTTGGTCGACTCATGTCTTTTGTTAACTGAACAATATGGTTACTTTTGAAAAGTCAACCTTTTCTTTGTGATAAAACTATTTTCCTCAGTGTGCCAGCCACATATAAAATGTGAAATTAATATTATTAGAGTCGGAAGATCTTCACAATGATATATGGCCCCTCCTTAAAAAACTTCTATGGAATACAGAAACCTTGGCCACAAAATAATCAAGAAGCAAAGAGATTGTAAGTGATTATGTTCTTTATATTTTTACATTCTAGTAGCTGTCATTTAGGCAAAATTCTGGTTTGGTTATCATTAAATAGGGAAATACATCATGATTTATTGCCTATAAATTGATATCTCATTGTTTCTTTGATTGAACTTCTGATATTGCACAAGTTTATATTTCTTTGGTCTTGATATTAAGAATTTACGAAGTATCAACTCTATCAACAAATATTTATGAAACACCTACTCTATTAGAGGAAGTGGTCTAAGCGATAAAAAGAGATAAAACGCTATATATTCTAAGGGATTGTGATGATGTGGAGGAGCAGCATGAAATAATCAAGCCTCACTCTAATTCTTTTAACTGGCGATTTTGTAACATGATATTAGAAAAAGTGATATAATTATTGTCTAATTGTATGCAAACTATAACTAAAAAGATACTTCCTTTTCCCAAATCAATGGGATTAACTGGATGCTCTTTTTTCCCTCTCCCCCTATCCAAAATCTCTGAATTAAATCTAGACTCAGCTAGAGGAACTGAATCGAATGAAAAAGAGATTTTCAGCTACTTGCTTCTTCAGCATTAGATCTATATAAGTGATGCTAAATTTATACTAGCAAACTCCTACCAGATAGTTTCAAAAGCTGGTTGACTCATATATAAACCAGGAAACATTTCAGGAAAACTTTAAAACAATGATGTGCAACATAATCACTCTTACTTCTATTTATAAACAGCCTAAAAAAATTAGCAAAACCATAGTTCCAAGTTCCAAAGGCATTGCCTTGTAGCCTATAGAAAACAGAGGTCATTCTGGCCACCTCACTTTTCGATGGGGTCACAAAGCCACCAAATTAGCAGGTGGAAGATGGACATTCTCAGAAGTCAGATAGAGACTGCTTTTTTAAAAGGTGCCAGGAAGCCTTCTATTTCTCCAAAAATGACTTCACCTTTCTCATTAAAAATGGCATCTGCTCCTTATTCTCTTGCAGAGAGTTTAGACTGTTATTACTGTAGTCACTATATAAAATACCAACCTTAAGTGGAAAGGACCTTCTTGCTTTGGCAAGGCTTGACTGTCACTTGAAACCACGACTATCTGTGTATTCTTACCACAATGGACTTGGAAAGTGTAAAGCCTTAATCACTCTCAGTTCTAACACAAATTTGCAACTTCTGATTACATTATTCTTTCTGAGATCTGCTAACTTGTGCTCGAGTAACTTAAATGCCTAAGCCAAATACCACAGCTTTGCACAAATAGCACAGCTCAACAGATGTTTTCTGTAGCATTAAAGAATCTAATTGACTTAATTTAACTGAATATCAGCAATTTAAAAGCCCACTAAAATTATGG